CTTTCTTCTGTGTTTTTGTGCATCGGCTCGGATGCGAATGGACTGTCGGCACTATCAGCGAATTCACCCTTGAAATGCATTGTTTTATCCTCGTTGGTGACCCTTTTGTCAATTTTTTGCCTCATCTGGACACGGCCACCTTGTTGCACAGGAATATGATGCCCATGTTATGTGGTGTGCAAGGATTTGTTCACAAACTTCTTGGAGCCATCGCCAGCCATGCCATCACAAGCTGGTGCGTTCATGGGGTCTGCAGGTGTCCAGCAAATGCAAGGATCAGTGCCTGGAGGTATGCCACAAGGGATGCCAGGGGCCGCTGGCCAGGCGCCCTCATTCTTCGCCCATGGCCAGCAGCCCCAGGCGTCGCAGCCATTCCTGGGCGGTGCTGCAGGTCTGGGCTTTGGCCAGCCAAACAATGCCTTTCAAGGGCAGGGTCAGATGCCTGGATTGTTTGGGCAGCCTGGTCAACAACCTGCATACCAGCAAGCCAACCAACAGGTCAGGTACCAAGCAGCCAACCAGCAGGGCGTCGCAGGGTTCCAACCCTTTGGGCAGCAGCCTGCCTACCAAGCAGCAAACCAGCTGGGGATGTACCAGCAGGCGGGGCAGCAGGGTGGGTTCCCCCAGTACCAGAGCGGCATGCCACAGGGTCAGACACCAGGCATGGGCTTTGGTGTGGGCCAGGCAATTCCAGGAGCTGGCGTCATGAATGGCATGCAGACCCCGCAGGCAGCCAATGGTGGGCTGCAGCCCCAGATGGCCGCTGTGAGTTCGCAGCCTGGCGGGATCATGTCAGCAACGTCTCTGTCGACTCCAGCCCAGGAGGGTCAGGGTGGAGACGGTGGCCTGTTCCGCAATCTTGTTGAGGATGTGAGGGGCAGCCTGCCAAAAACCCAGAACACGTCCAGCACGATGGGTGGTTTGGGTGGCCTGGGCAGCCTGGGTGGCCTTGGTGGCTTTGGTGGCATGCCTCAGGCCGGATACCAGTCTGACCCTGCCAGCCTGCAGCAGGGGTATGGCAACCCCAAGCCCGGCCTGAGTCCATCTCCTTTGATGGGTCAGCCCCCCCTGATGAGTCAGTCGTCACTCATGGGAACGACCCCGCAGAACACATTTTCGACTTCGGGCAACCCGTTCGCCTAATCTTCAGGCAGCGCCCTGCCAGTGGCTTTCTTTTCAGCTGTTTGCTGGCAGAGCTCGCCCCAAGCCCCTGGTGGAGTTCACCTCAATTTCTGTCATGTAGGCTGTGCTCATTGACGAATTGTGACCGTCGTTGAGTCGTGGGGCCAGCATATAGAATGGGCCTCCAAGGTGAAGAGTTTGATGTGGGGCACGATTGGGGATGTGCTCGTTGCTGGTGGTGCGGAAGTGCTATGCCGCAAGTTGAGTGCTGGCTGGCCTGCACACAGACCTAGGTGCATAAGGGGAGCTGCGGGGATGCGAGCAGTGAATGGATGGTTTCAGTCATGGTTTCACTACGAACACGGGGCCAATGGCTTGCATTGGTCGGCTGTTCTGGTGGGAAGGATTGTCTTGTCGATGGAGGCTAATAAGGGCTCTGGGTGCAGCAACAGTAGTAGTGCGGTGTGAAGGATGGCTGCCAAATTGGTGGAGCATGTGTAGGATTGCACGACCAATCTTCAGGCGACCTGAACAGGGACTCCTTGAGAAGCCTGTGACTGCTATGAACGATGAATCAGAATGCGTTGAAATGGGGCCCGGTGGAGTGGCCGGGGGACGGGGAAAACCCTCAAGACATGTCTCATTGGGCTTCTGGTGGTGTGTACGATAAATCTGCAAGCGGCAAAGGCAGGTTTTTGTCAGGATGGAGTTGGCTTTCTTGTGAAAAGTCGTCTGCCACCTGGCTTTTGCCAGGCCCCCCAATAGGGTGAGAGTCCACAGCAGCAGTGGGTTGGCTCTTGTCGTTGTTGTCCATCGACTGCGCTTTGTAAATTGTTCTCCAGACTCCATGGTGTGTTGCAAAGATAAAGTATTGCGCGTGTCTTTGGCTACTTTGACGAATTGCAAGATGACTCACCCTGGGACGTCAAAATGCAGCGCTGGGAGGCAAAGACGCGTCATTTTGGGTAAATCGCGTCGGGAAGCTAAGGGCAGGGGAACTGTTGGGGACACAGCGCGTTGCCCTGGAGGCGCCATCTTCAAGGTCGGATGACGCCGTGCCCATGCGCTGCTGCGACTTCAACGTCCGCATTACAGTGCTGAAAGTGCGACGCGCCACAATACAAGACGGCCAAACTCGGGCTCAGATCAACATCCGCAGCAATCATCATCACCGTCCAGTTTTCCAGAACCAGGCAATGAGGTAGCCGTCCTCTTCCTACTTTGCCCAAGCAAACCAGTGCCTATGACTATTTCAGTGAAATCGAATTGGTAAACTCGCCGTTAGTCATTACACTGCGTCAGCACAACGACGGGTTCGTGACTGACATACGTCAGCTGACTGGACCAGCTCAGATTTGGCCGGTCACGAAAACACGGACAGCTGCTCAGCGTTGCAGAAGAGTGAGAAAGCATGCTGAAAGAATTTACGCTTTGATGATTAGTGTGAGGACGAGAAAGGTGCATAAGTCATTGCGCGGAGGATGAGGTTCTTGTAGTGAATTAAATATGGTGTTAACAAATATGGTGAAATGGAGAACGATGGGGAGGGACATGAATTGGAAGCGCTTGCAGCGAACACTACATGAGTGGAACAATCATTCTGTAACACATCTGGTTACGCTTGCTTCCCGTGCCTGGGAGCGACTGTGTGTGAGCGCGGGCGGAAAGTGCGACCCCGACATCATAATTAGTACAAAGAATATGCATCCAGACCGTTTGTGAACATGAAACAAAAAGCTTCGGATGATGAGAAAAGGAGTAGACGGGAGTCATATGGGAATGCTTTTAAACCCCCAAAACACCTTTTGGGCCTCAGAAACCACACCAGAATGGTTGTGAGGCAGTAAATCGAAAGTGCAGTACATTCACTGGGCTGAACGCCCCGAAAGTCTTGGGGAAATGCTGCCAAAACTTTTATAGAATGCAACCAATATGGTTGCATGGCAGCACGGCGGGAAATGGCATGATCTCATGTTCTACCATTCAGAGGAAAATGATGCAGAAACATTCAAAATTGCAGCTGTAGAATTGGGCATTAAAGAAAAAGTGGAAGTCATGGGTATTTAGGGGAAGTGCTGCCCGATTCATGACGGGGATATAGGCTCATGGCCTTACAGCCTTGTAAGTGTGTCCTATTCGGAATGGTTGCAGGGCCCAAAGCGCACTTTTAATGCTAGGCTCATAACGTAATAGGTTGGAAAGCCTACGGGGCTCCAGCAAAGCACCACCAGAATCATCTGGGGCGTTGGGTTGATAGTGACCAAGGTTTCATAATTTCAGGACACACCAGAGCTGTCCCGTTCCTGACAACTAGTGTTGCTACACACAGCCACTTTGGTGTGGAAGCTGGCGGAAGCATCGGAACATTGCGAAGCTGTTGGGTATTGGTGCGCTGGCGACATAACGTCACAAGGAAAGTCAAAGACTGCAGTTGTAGTGACTGAAGTATTGACTCACAAATCGAAGTGAAAAATTCTGTGAAAACTACCGCGTTGATTGGAGAGCGAGCACATGACTGTGAGCTGGTCATTGACTGTGATTCTTAGAAACCCAACACAGCCATGTAGCCATCCGTCAATCGAGGTGCTGAACGATGATCGACGTGAATCCATGACCTGTGCGGCCGGTGGGACGAGTTGTTGCCTGACTGCATGTCGGTTGGCTGTGGTGAACTTCAATCGACCTGTAATTTAGATTGGCAAGGAGTGCAGTGAGTCGGTGGAGCAATTCTGGCTTTACTGACCAGCCCCGTTTGTTTGCGATCGCTAAATTGAGGTGCCTCGCTTCGGCAGCACCCGATTGAGGAAGTGGGCTGGAAGTCACGCAATACTGTGACGATTGTTTTGGTTTCGTTTACAAAGATCAACGGCGGAAATAATGAGCAAGAGGCATCCATAGTGCCTCAAATATTGGGGCTTTCATGAAAGGACCGGACACACACATTAGTGAGGTAGCAGCAGCAGCTCACCAGCCCTAAAGGGCAGATGCACTTGGAGGCTGCTTTAACATAATGTTTCACACAAACAAAGTCTAAGAATGTAGTAACTGTTAATGCCAAGACGCGATTGTCGATTAACTTTCATCATTCACGAATTGCCTCAGCATCATTCATCAGCACAGCATGTGAAGACAGGGACGCCGTTCATTGCGGTGAGCAAACACATGGATGGGCCCAAGACGGGCTCGATGTCATTGCTGCCAATCTGACAGCTGGTGTTGTGGCAAGGGCATCGCCGCTCCTTCCACAGCACTTCCACCACAGGCCGTTGCGCACTCGCCGCCAATCCGGCACTCGTCCTTCCCGTGTCGGTGCGCATCCAAATCCGACGCAGGCCGCGGCGTTCCCCACCGGCGCCAGGAGCACAGCGGCCTGGTTGACGTCCGCAGACAGGAGGGCGGCGGAGAGGGCGGCGGGCAAATATATACATGGCAGATCGGGGCGGCACCCCGCCTCCCTCTGCCCCCGTGGACCACGGGCGGGAGCCCTGCCCTGACAGGATCCTCGATGACGTTGGCGGAGCTTTTGGGATGGGCGCCGTGGGGGGCGGCCTGTGGCACCTCGTCAAGGGGCTTCGGAACTCGCCCTCCGGGCAGCGGCTGCGGGGAGGCGTAGAGGTGGGTTTCCGCTGTCTGTTTGTCGATGGCGTGGGCTAGGAGCGCTAGAACGCGTTCGTGTTCCGTGGTGGGGAGCTCCACGTGCATGTGCACACAAGCTGGATTCTCATGGCCGGCTGTTTCGTGGGTGGGGGTGAGTGGGCGGAGGCGGGAATGAAGGTGGAGTGCGCTGGATCGTGGCCTCGCGTGGCGATGTTTATTTGAATTGGAGCGCTGCTGGAGATCGGCATTTTGCAAGTCGGTGAATCAGGTCACCCATGGCTTGCATGGAGGGGTGGCTGGTTCTGGTGCAGGTGCTGGAAGGGGACTCAGTGGTCGTCTGCAATTGTGACATTGGAAAGTCTGAGGCGCTGAGGTTATGGCTTGCAGCAGTTGTGCTGGCACAGAAATCGGGAGCTTGGGAGAATCTTTCCCACATTAGCGTAGTTGGATGCCTCTTGGGTTACCACCATCTCTACTGGAAAGTACAATTGCAGAAGGAGACTACAGCAATGTAGTAAAATCTATCATACTTCCTCTGTCTGAAATCACAGTTCGCCTTTTGAGAAAGACAATTTACAACATGAGCAAGAAGTCAAAAGTCGAACTTAATGCCGTATTTAGAAAGTTCGGCCCGAAAACCCAAAAGCCGCCTTTCCCACCATAACATGTTGTCATTCAATCCATTATGTATACTTCCAAAGGCACTGCCCTGTTGACAGGAATTGGTAGCTAGCGTCGGTGGCAAGCGCCATTGTTACTGTTGCACTGCACTAACTGTGGGACACCACACCGGCAAGACCTTGAGAATTTTGATTTCTCTACATGAGTATAGTGGGCTCAAAGCCCTGCTAATTACTCTCCACTGGACCATTCAGAACGAACAGGTCAGGGCATTTGGTAGACTCACAGACAGCGCCCTGACTCAATGCTCAGGAAAAATGTTCTTGATAGGCATGCACCCTCCCAACAAAATCGACGTTTAATTCTAGGAAGGGGAAGCACCTCTGCAACATTCAAACGATGTGCCTATAGTTCTTTGTCACCAAGGCAGTTAGAGTCAGTTGTCAATCCTGTCACTGTCATAAGCCTGACATGAGAGCAACTTGTTCTGAAGAGAAAAATGCCTTGCTTTGGGCGCCCTACACATGGCCAGGGATGTGCTGTCCTTTCCAGTGCTGTGCGGGATTGCTGAGCAGATGCAGAGTACAAGTAGACAGCAGGGTGTTGTTGGCCACATATCTGCATTTGCATGCAGTGTGAGAACCAGGACAGAAGCAGTTGCAGGCAGACATGCATAGTTTGCTTTATTAGCACAGACCATATTGATATGTTTGCACTCCAATTTTGGTCACATAGCCTTGGCAGATAGTGCTGAATGACACAAAGAGTAGCAGATACACCCTTTCCTTGGTTGCGTGCCACCGGGACGAAGCCTAAGTTAGAATCTTCTCTTTCAGGGCTGCTGCCTCCTTGCGCTTGATTTTCTGTCTATGTGGATGTCTGTCTCAGCCACTCCAGGCGTGACCAAAATTAACTAATGCACTGGTGTGCATCACTGTAGGCAATTCGACGGGAGGCGCCTCGTCTCGGGGGTAGCTTCGCTGTCTGGGGCGGGCTGTTCTCTGCCTTTGACTGTACACTGGTTTTTATAAGGCAAAAGGTGGGAATGGGTATGTGCCGGTGTATGTTTTGAACAGCCATGCTTGTCTGTAAGCTCATTTGATTGCATGACTATTTCATGTTTCATTGATACGCTTTCGTCACGTATGACATTCCTGTTCTTATAGCCTTGTCAGATATTCTGCCCACAAAACGGCAACACCCTTCTTCCAGTCATTCAGCTCCCAGCACTGGCACAGATTCCCTTTACCTTTGCCCAAGAATGGAATTGAAAGCCAAGAGCAAGTCTGGTTGTTGTTGATCCACTGTGGAGGGTTGTGCATATGCTGCACTGTGACCTGCAGTGGCTTCAATTTCTGCTTGCAACCTATTGCCAGAGAAAGCCTCGCAGGATGTCACAAGGACAGAGGAAAGAAACACACCCCCACATCTATTGTGGACAGCTGGTTCTCGGTTGTATACCCATCACGCTGCACCAAAACATTGGTTCTTGGAACAGGCCTCAACTACTGCATTGGTTGTAGGTGTGTTGGCTGCCAATTGCGTTCCACCAGCTGGTCTTTGAACAGTGTACATGTTGGAATTTTTCTCTCTTCAACCCCTTATAGCAAAGCAACTCTGCCAAAGATGCAGAAACATGTGCAGCTGCCACCTTTGGTTCAGATGTGGATTGCTAGTCAATACTTTCTAATTAGACGGTTGACATGGTTCTCTTTTGCTGTAAGGACGAACTGCCTTGTTGTCAAAGACCTGACTTTTTTGCTTCTGTAGGAGGACCCCTGGAATTCTATTGGAGCTGGTGCTCTAACTGGTGGTGTCATACAATTGAGGAGTGGCCTAAAAGCTGCTGGGCGCTCAGCAGCTTTTGGTGGAGTCTTGTTGGTGCGCACGCCAATCCATATGTGCATGGAGCCCTGGTTCCTCGAGTGTTACAACTCAGTGTATCTACATGTTCAGGCGTGGGTATGAATCTGAATATTGTTGTTGTTGTTGTTGCTTTTACAAGAGATTGAGGCAGCTTTGAGGAATGTGACAGGCTTCTTAGCAACCAAAACAGGGCCAGCAACAGTGAGGGGCAGAAATCTCCCTCTCAACTGGATGGAGTGTACACTCGTCCTTGTGCTGGGGGCTCCTACATGTGTTCATCAGACGACAGAGGATGTTCAACCTGTATTGGTCAAGATCATGATGAGCAGTTTGCGACCATCGTCGTTGGCTTGCTGGTTGCGACTTTGAAACGACGAAAAGACAGCGCCATTTCTTAATCAGAAACAGCGCGAGCATCCTCAGACACCTAACCTCAAGAAGCAGCAATAATCAGGAACAGTGTACGCTTCAGCCACTTCAGTAGGAGACATCGACCCTACATGTTAAAGCAGCTCCAAGTTATATGTTGATGAATTGAATGCAGATTGAACATGTCTTATATGTGTTGCCGGGGGAGTGCCATTCATTTCTGGTGTAGCATGTAACAGGCCAATGCGCATCGCTTTGTTGTCCTGTACATACCTTGGGAAGCGCACATGGCCATGATTTGCTTATTTGTGGAAGGATATCTGCTGCAATGTGGCGATTCGCCTATTCGCATTCTGTTGACTTCAACTGACCTGGTCCCAAGACAGCCAAGGAACCCACTGCGGGCAGGAACTGAGAACATCTACTGTTGTGGATGCTTCTCTGATGCAAGCATCCACATCCACCTTAGCATGATATCCTGGCCCTGCACAACTCATCTGGAATGAGCATCTGGCTCCACAAATCGATCATGCCGTATTCTTTAACTCTGTCAGTTACTCCATCTAACAACAGCGTGCCTGTGTAAGACACTCCAGTGCAATTGTGAACATGATCACATGATGCCTTGCCACAAGCAAGGTAATGCTGGTCAATGTTGGTTTCATCTTGTTTCATTGCCAATCTGGTCCATTGTCCAATGCGTTTTTGAATCACATGAAGCTAATAATAGTGTATAAACAAAATGCTGCGTAATGCACTCATTTCTATTTCTGATTATTGGGGTCCCCACGCACTGTGTCACCTGCGTCCCCAACTCCTGAGCGTGCGACTGTGGTGTCTGCATTGGCAGGCGATGATCGAGGGCTTGGGGATCATGCTCACCAAGATGTCCACTCCTCCCACGCCCCGAATGGATCCGAGGATGGTGGGCGTTCCCCCAATGGACGTGGGATTGGCTGCTGGTGGGATGGGTCCTGGGCAGATGGGCCTGCCAATAGGCCAACGGATGGAAGCCCAAGCAGCCCCTGGCTTTGTGGACGGCTCGCAGTCCAGTTCTGACGAGTCGCAGGCTGGGGAGTCGTGGTCATCATGGTTTGGCTGGGGTAAAAAGGTGAGGGTGAAGGGCTGCAAGCTATGTCTTTGGTTTGACAGTGAGTTTGCTTGTCTTGCAGCCCAAACGTGGCTCGAATAGGACATGCTGAAACAAATGCAGTGAGGCAACACCATTCAGCCAAGGGTGCCTTTGTTCCACAGACGACGCCTTGTCCATTCACTGAAACCCCTGGCAGCACAGGGGTATCGAACACGTGGAAGATGGAACGGACAGACTGTGCCAGATGTGCTGAGAAACTTTAGGAGCGGAGTGGTGTGGAAACAAGCACACTGAATCTGCATATCCGTGTGGTGCCCTGCTGTTTGCCCCAAGTCTGGTGCTTGCTATGAGCAGGGTTATCAGCAGGTCAAATGGAACCCTTCGTTGAGCAAGAGTACCTCATCGATGCACGGCCATCGTCGCTGCTCCCTCGATTATTGGACCTGCTCCCTAACGCGAACATTTCCAAATCGATATGTAGGCAATCTGCAAGGCAATGTGTGTCGATGTTCGTTTCCTTAGGTTTCGATCGTTGTGTGATCCTCACCCTCGCATAGTGGGCAACACATACAGCGCCCCTGTTGTTGCGGTTCATCTGCAATGCAGAGACAGCTCTTGAAGAGAAGACAAAACCCGAGCCCTGTAGCACTGCACCGAAGGGCCAGAGCAATTACGCATCCAAGTGCAATTTGCGCTCAACGCTGTTGAGGAACCTGAAGGGGCCTGTCCCAGCGTCCGCCATTCCCCTCCTTTGTCTTACCACCCAGTCTCAGTGCTGGAATGGGCCAGTCACGTTTGTGTATGATGCAGTGTAGCATCCCTCTCTAGCTTGTGTCCGGGCACCAAGCTTTTCCCTTACTAGTGGCGAACGCTCTGCACCATTCCACAGCCGGAATGAGCGCCTCCTTGCCAAGGCGCAGACCTGCGGCAGGCGCCTTGCCGTCAAGGGGACGGCCACTGCGTGGCCCTTCCTGTTAAACCCCAACTGCTCTTCCTGCACAGGCCGACGAGTCCAAATCGGGCGCGATGACCGAGGACGGTTTATACCCACCCCCGTTTCCGAAAGACTTCCAGACGACGGAGCCATCCTTTCGTTGACCTACGTGCGGCGGCGCTGTTCGTATTGGGACGCCCCGCTTGACGTGCATGGAAAGGGCATCAGGTGCACTTGTCCGTCGCGGTTCTCAGCACCAGGCCCTGTATCACACGGCTCTGCAGCACAGCCCTGCGCCACCCCGATGATGCCCGGGCTCGCTTCGTCCGTGCGTATTAAGGGTTTGCGGAGCAGGCGCCGTGTAACGCGGAGCATGTGCCACGAGGTGCGGGGATTGCAACGGGACGCTGCTGCAAGAGAAGCTTGGATTGGTTCCGTCGCTGCGGATTTGCGTCTCGTGATGTAGTTATGTACGAAGCAGGTTTGGTTGAATTGGTAATTTCTTTATTATTTGAGGGGCAGGCGATCCTTTATGTGCCTGGAGAATTGAATGCAGGGCGGAACGTGTGTGACTTTCGGAATTGTGTTTTCCGTCGAGTTGTTACAGAAATGTGCTTGCAAGTGGTGCAGCAAGGCTTTCTGGGGAATGTGGATGGCCACCCAGGCAGTGAGTGGCCTCAGAACCCACGTTGACAGAAAGGAAGGGCATGTCAATGGAAAGTGGGGATGCCTGTGGGAAAGGGAAGAGAAAGGGGCGCGCACACATGACCTGCAGCCTGAAGCACCTGGCCCTCCTCCCTTGACAAACAATCAGGAGAGCAAGGTTTTGAATTGTTCACGGCGCAAGTCCAAAAAAACCACAGCAGCAAGCAAAGGGGGTGAAGCAAGGGGAGGTAAATAGCCTCCCCCGCTCAGCCCCTCCAAAGCCTGCTTCTTTCAGGGGTGCCAGAAGTATCGATGGCTCTCCATGAATGCCTTTGGAGTCATGTACTATGTGGCCAGGAAACCAATAGGGGTGGCCAGAAACGGCCTTACACATTGGCTGCCGATTCAAATCCCAAGTACAGCCCACCCTTCGCTGCCAAAGGCACACACCCATCAGCAGGATTGTCCCATTCGGGCTATGCCTTAGGAGGCACTGGACAATCAACACTTACAATGTTCCAAGACTTGGGAAAATCATTGACTTTGCTGTCCTCTGGCGAAATGAAAGTTATGGTGACCTTGTTCCCCTAACATGTAACATTATAGATTTCTCGATTGACTGAACCACGAGTTTGGGGGACTGCAAACTCCACTGTGAGCCATCAAGCGCAAGGATGTACTTGTTGGGATTGTGTGCTTTTAGATGTGTTATGCATAGATGTGTTATGCATAGTTGCAGGCGCAGTTGGACGTTGTATTTGTTGTATTGCCTTTTGTATTTGGTGGACGTTGTATGTTCGCTATCAGTTCGTCGAAACCCCGCCAGAGCCGGAGCTTTTGCAACTTCCACTATTGGCAGTGGATGAGGAACAAATAGAAAGAAAACTGGGCTGTTGAGTACATCGATTGCTGGCCCTTACCTGTGCCGATGCATAGTCATGACTGCCAGGCAACGAGGCGACATTTGACAAACCAGCAGGCCATCGTTGCATAACATCAATACAATATATCAGGCACAATCCGTTTGCATGCCTTTCCTAGCATGCCCTGCAAGACCGGCAATGGTGTGCACAAGAAGAGCCCATATACCACATAGGTTTCAAGGAAGCCAGGCTTCCCAATGTACACTGGTTTTCACACCATGCCAGAAATCAACTCTTTTGTCCCGTGGATTCCAATGAATCGGCTCTCGTACATCAGGGAACTTCATCTTTCTGTCTCTCTGTAGCGCCAAGATGCTCAATCCATCCACTGCTACTCAACCAGAGCTCATTTTCATCGGGTGTATCTCCAGAAGGCCCCAGCTCAATCACGCAGAGGGTTTGCAATGCTTTGGGAAAGGTCCAGTGGCTTCGATCGCAAAGGGAAACCTATCAGTCTCTTCGGCACTGAGCTTCCTGAGACATGCGCCCCTTTTCCAATTTCCCTGCGCGAATCCTCGTCTGTGCACAAGCACGCAGCCAACATCAACAAGACAGGATAAGCAGGCCCAATGGGGCAGCCACATGCAGCCAAACCATCGTGCCAATTCTGCACAAAGACGCACCAATCGCAAGTCTTGCAGAAATTTGTGTCTCCCAGACCAGACGCAAGTCGCCCCAGGGCAAACGGACGCTTCCCAGGCATCGCTGCGCGCACCGTGGCTCACCTCAGCTGGCCCTCCGTATGATGTTCGAGACCATGAACGTCTTGTGCTTGCTGATGGGCCGCGTGGGGCTGATCTCCACGTAGTCCCCCACCCTGCACTCCTCCTCCTCGTCGTGCGCGAAGTACTTCTTCGACTTGCGCACGCGCTTGATGTACCGCGGGTGCGGCACCTGCCTCACGACCTCAACCACCGCCGTCTTCTGCATCTTCATCGACACCACGGTCCCCAGCAGCTTCTGGGCGGCCTCGATCCTGACGGCACCGCGCGCGGGAGGGGGCAGCGCCAGCGAGCCGGGCGCGCTCTGCGCGTTTGCGGGCGTGCCCAAGAAGGCGCTTCGCCGCAAGGCGGCTGGGTTGACGGTGCCCAGGGCAGCCATGGCGCGGTGGGGCGAAAACGCTGGTGGCCGGGGTTGGCGCGGACAATGTATGGCAGCCGTGAAATTAGTAATACGGCAATGATGGAATTACCGTCAACACTGAGCGGCATACATAGCAAAGCACTGTGTCAATGCCGTTTGGCTGTTCTCACGTGGTTGGCCGTGGATTACACGGGGCCGGCGCAGTACATTAATGGCGCTGTGGGGGTTTGTCGGCGGAGCGGCCAAGAGTGGCGGAAGAGGCGCGGCTGGCGCTCTGCCAAGGGGGCGGGGGCGGAGGGGCCGCGAGGCGAACCCCGCGGGAGTTTTGGCATCGCAGAGGTGCGCGGGCGCGCTGGGCGCCTCGGCAATGCGGAAGCCCGCTGGCTCCGCGATCCGTAGGCGCCCCAAAGGTGCAGATGCCCCTCGAATCAATGCCAGGGCGCTGGTTCTGGGGCGCAGGCGATCCCCGATGCGATCTTGCGATTCGCCAAGAGCCGCGGAGGGCCAAACTGGGCGACTTGTTGGGCGAGCGCCAGGGGGGCATCGGGCGGCGCAGATGCCTGGATGGGCGAGGGCTGGGGCGCCAACACCATTGGCCATTCGTGATATCACTCGCAGCCGTGTGTGCCTTGAGGGCATTGAGACTCAGGCCGCCGCAGCTAGAGTAGCCAGAACGCTGGAAAGCAACCAACTGCAATGCGTCTGCCGCGCTGCCCGTCGCCACCGGACCGCCCGCAGCCGGCCGCTGCGCCCCCGCCGATCGGTTCGCCGCACGCCCGCAGAGGCGCACCAACGAAGCCCAGCGGCGGCTCAGTCGCCTGCGGGGGAATTCTTTTCACGGCAGTGGGCCGCCGAGCGACCGGCGCCCCGTTCTCCGGTCCCTTGGTTTCCGGAACCTCTGCGGACCGGCCCGGTTGCCGATCCTCTCGCACGCACCAAAGTGACTCATGCCTCAGCGCCCTCCGGCGTCAGCCGACCGTGGCCCCTCTCGTCATACGGACAGCGATCGTATCTCTCCCGCATTAGGCGGCAGTCCAACATACGGCTCGGGCCTGCTGCCCGCCGGCGGCCCTGCCTCCCGCCAACCTCGTCGGACGCTCAGCGTGCGCGATCCCCCGCCGGGCGCACACAGCGCGGCCTGCGCACCCCCCGCGGCGCCGCGGGGGAGGGCCCGCGTGGCCAGAGCGCCGCCATCGCGGCTTGATTCGCTGCGCTCTTTTCGGACGCCCGCGATCAGCGCTGCGCTTGTTCGGGGTGTCACGCTCCGTGCTGGAGCCGGCGCAAGCGCGGAGCGCCCTTTCCACGGTCGTTTAGATCTGGCGAGATCTCGTCGTTGTCAACTCGTGAAGGTTTCTCGCGAGGGGCCAAACGACAAAGGCGCACAGCCCGCGCCCGGCGAAAGACGCCCACCCATCGCCCGCACCCACACTGTAAACATCGCCCTTCGGGGGGCAGCCAGCCGGGGCCTCCCGCAGCGGCGCCGTCCCGCCGCCGCACGGCACCGCCACGCTCGATGTATATTGCGCTTACACAAATAATCCCAACTGGCCTGTAATAAAATCAGTTCTCTCTTGACAGCTGCAGCCTTGGGCGCCCGCCGGCGACGGTCGGCCCGCGCCGCGTCGCGGCCGCCCGCCGCGAGGCCGGCCCCCCGCTTGCCCCCGCTTCCGCTCATTCCTCATGCATCGCACCAGACTCCCGCGCCGCCCCGGGCGGCAGCTAGTTGCCCCCGGGGTCCGGTCGCGCCAGGCCCCCCCAGCGTCCTCTCTAGCGACTTGCAAAGTACACAATCTTCGTTTTCGTTCGCAGTCCCCACCCCCACCAAAATGAATTCCTCGCAACCCGCGACCGCGAGCCTGGCGCCCCCAGCCACAAGCGCCCCGCGATCGGCTGCGCGAGCGCGGGGGCTTCGCGTCCCGACGGGCGGCGTGTCCATTTTCCCGCCCATCGGCGTCTCCTCTCCCACTGTGTTGCGCCAAGGGCGGTCGCCCCGTCCCACCGCGAGGACCGGCGCCCCATGCAGCCCGCATCCCTCCGCCCAAGGCCCCCTGGATGATCGCTGCTCGGGGCGGTTTGGGCGCGCGGGCCGCCGCCGGGATCCAGGGCCATCCCCCCCAGGCCGCCTAGGCGGCCGGCTGGTTGGGCAGGGTGACCAGCTCGTACTCCACCAGCGACAGGTTGTTATCGCTCTGCAGGGGCGCACACCAAACGGGAGGGGGGGGTGTCAGAAGGCGGCGGACCACTGAGGAGGGAGGCAAGGGCAGCACGGGAGGGAGGGGACCTGCCCACCTTGACTTCGAAGTCTCCCTCGCCCTCCTCCACCTTCCCCCATTGGTTCACGGCCAGCCTCATCGACCCCTTGAACATGTCTATCCTGGCGTTGCGCAGGATCAGGTACTTGCCCACCTTGGCCAGCTCCACTGCCGCGCACCAGTGGCCGAGACAGCACGCCCAGTCAGTCACGGAGGCGCGCCCGCGCGACCAGGGGCAGATCACGGGATAAGAGGGGTGGGGGGTGGGGTGGGCCACTCGCGGGCAGCTCACCTTGGGCGCCCCTGGCCGTGAACACAATGCAGCCCGTGTCGTCCCCCACCAGGCACTCCGCCATCGGCATGGGCTTCCCACCCGCGCCTCGCGGCCGGTTGGCCACCTCCGTGGCTTCCATCACCTGCGGCGCAACCTCGGCAGCTTGGTACATCCGCAGAAAAAAAGCGCGCCGTGGGGCGGGGGCGCCGGATCGGGGCCCCCGGGGGTGGGGCGGGGGGGCGGGGGGAGGCGGGCGTCACCTTGACGACCAGGTTGTGGCCCTTGGTGCCCGGGCGCACGGCCTCGACCTTGGTGAAGACGGGCTGTTGCTTCTCCATGGCTGCCGTACCTCTGTCCAGGGCTGCTGGGGCCAGGGCGAACAGGGTGGGTCGACAGCTCGGACGGGCTTATAATCGGCCCTCCTGCGGCATCATTCGGGCGCGCCCATCCGCCCTCATCAACTCGGGGAGGATGGAGATCAAGTCAATCGACCAGGGGCGAATTTGGGCCGAGGCAAGGAGGGGGCCATCAGCGCCCCATGTTTCTCTCCAGGAAAGCGTTCTCTCCTCATCTTGGTATGTCATGTTCCCTGATGACTACCATCACAGTCATGAAAGGCACAAGAACTCAGAAGCTGTCGTGAAACCCAAACAAATAAATGCATTCAGATTCGATATCTGAGACGATACGTTCAGTACAACTTAGTGTGTGTCTCCTTGCGAAAGTCCTAGAAATGAGATCAACTTCTGGTGTTTGCTTGCCGGGCTGATATTGGTCCGTCCCGTCATCTGCAAGACAGGGTTCAGAATATCCCGTAAACAGAAAAAGAAAACCAAAAGAGGCATTTTTTCCATGAGTCCCCTTGAGAATCCTGCCCTCTAAACTCCGCCACAAGAGCTTTCGAAATGCAATCAGAGCCGAGCGCCAGTTTGCAGAAACATCTCTGGCATTTGCTGCGTGATAAATGTGATTGGATTCATCCCGTGGCCCAAATTGCCTTTTGGTTTGACCCTGAAACCCAAATCCACTTCACAAATGGAAGTGCAGAATCCAATCCATGTCAATTGCATGAAACATCTGCAGTCTTGATTTGGCATTTGATGCTGTAGAGCTTCAGAGCATCAATGTTGTGCGCCAGCCAAAGAAATGTAGCAGCACAGGTCTAATGAACTGCGTAATATGTTGTCCTACCTCTGCACATGTTGATAAGGAGAGTATATCCACACAATCCACATAAGCGGAAGCGGAAATGAGAAGAATTACGAAGCAAAGTGTGTAGAGAGGAAAGAATCTGCATATCAGGGAGGGAACAAAGGATAGCATTCGATCTTGAGCCGTGCTTCCCAATTATCATAAGCTTGTTCAGTTGTTACAACACAATTGGGAAGTTGTTTGATTTCTGTTCAAGGCATGTTCCAGCAACGTCACCCCTCTCCATTGCTCTTCTCTGAGAGTGTACTTCATCACTTGAAGCGTTCGCCATAGCGAGCCTGAAGTTGTTGCTTGAACATGGGTTTGAAATTCTTAATCACTGATCCCATGATGGTGGAATGAAGAGCGCCATTATGAGGATGGAGCGCTCGCCAACTGCTGGAATCCACAGCTCTGGAGAGCGGCTTTACTGATCAAGGGCATCGCAGCCAGAAGCACCTCTTTGAGCTCCAGCGTCGTGCAAAGATTTGTGCCCATTGCTTCCACGGACGACTGGCCCACCGAATTAAAGAGCAACAGGGGCTTGGTTTGGACATGATCTCAAACAAGCGTTTCACAGATCGAGCTTGACGCTGCAGTCCGGCATTGAACAACCAAATTCAGAGGTTCCCATGGCGGTTTGGTACCGCGTCGTCTAATGTCGTCACAGACCAGCATGCCGAGTCAATTTGCTTTAAAGGTCCTTGGAATAGCAAAGATTGGCTGCCCAGAAATCTTGCAGCGTCGTGTGCCCCAGCATTGTCATATTCCAGAATGCGTAGGTCAGCCTTGCTGGGCTCTGCTCAGCCTGTCCCAGCCTTTCTAGTCCTTGGACTTTAACTCAGCGAGCGTTTGCACGCCCTGTGAACCCTGATGAGGGTGACCCACAAAAAGATGCCGCAGTCGATATCCACCGATGATCTCCGATTATCAACACAACAAAACCAGGACGCACCAATGGCGCCTGAAGGCCCCCAGTGGCACAAATGAATGCACGCTTGTGGGGTAGACTGTAAAGTGTTTGGAAAGCATACTTTGAACTCGGTTTGACAACAAGAAGCCAGATTGGAAGCCATGCCGCAAACGCTGGGCACCTGCTGAAGACAGCGAGCATCTCAAGCGCTTAGCTGGCAAACGTTGGAACGTTGCAACGCATTTGGAGCTGGCGATCTGCAGCCGCTGCTGTGGCAGAAGCGGCGCTGTTCAGGCTTCTGTATCGTCTTGTACAGCATGAAAACGAATCTTGAACATGATCCCTTGCACAGGAGGGGAGAGCCCTCAGAATGAATTGTTTACATTCTTTTAAATGCAATTTTTCACCAAGAACAGTTCCCCTTCATCAGCGCTGCATGGGATCTGAGTACCGGGCTGAAGCCAAAAAAGGGGGCTCAAGTTTTCAGCCTGAGGATCTTGTTGCTGGGGTCTTTGGGATCCGCTGACGACACAGCGACCTTCCGGACACCCTGTATGAACTTATCCCTGTCATCCTTGCTCTTTATCAATTTCTTGAATTCTTGGGCTAGCTCAGTCAGTGGCACTGAACCATGTTGGCGCAAGAAATCTGCAACAGGCGCCACAAACGGGTTGTGAACATGTTCGTGCCCACTTGATGACTTCTTTCCCACCGTCCCCACAGCCTGCTGTTTGGCTTGATCTTCTGTTGGTGGCACAGGCTTCTTCTCGACTGCCTTGGGAGCCTCACCGACCTGATCAGTCCGAACTTTCTTCACGTTAGGCCGGGACGGGGGTGGTGGCATCGAGGGGCTGCTCTCTGGGACCCCGGGCTTCCGTTTCTGCCCCAGCTTCTTAGCCAGCTTTGTCCTGTCCTGAGAGGCGACTGAAGGGCTCTGGGGCAGGCGGTGCACAGATGCATCAGCAAATAGGTGCAAGAGCGACAGGCTTCATAGCAAGGCACAGACACAAGACCAGAAAGGAGGCAGGATTGGCTGGTCAATCAAGCGTAAAGAATTCCTTTTCTGTCTGCCTCGGCAAACGAAAGTTGCCCCACACTAGACTGGAGCTATGTGTGGCACTGTGTTGGTGCTATGTGACATCCGCAGGAAGAACACGATTTCAGCTCTTCAATCTATTCAGAAATGCGTTATTCTCCCATGGGGCTCAACGCCTGGATGCCATTTCTGTTGCGTTTGAGAAGCCGCCTCAAAACACGACAGAAAAGGGGGAGAAGGGGCCGTGGTGGCGGCGGCTAGTCTTTCCATGTCGTGTACGACCAGAATTCCAGTCCATCTTGCAGTCACTGGCCATTCCGAGGCACTGCAGGCATCTCGACAAGGCAGTTGACTACACACTTCAACGCAAATAGCGTTCACCAGCGCCCATCACATTACTAAGGACGCAATGGACCCCAGCTGTGAGTTGCGCGGCAGGAGTTGACAACCCAAACAACGAATTGAGCAGAAAAGATGGGGTTGAAAAGAAGCCGCACATCGCACATGCCACAGTGCCAACTAACCAACGTGGTTGTTGGCGAATAGCACTTGGGGGAGCCTAACGGCGGCGTGTTCACAGCCACCACCTCAAGCCACATCAGAAACCTGTTCGAGCAGACATTCTGCAAGTGCCCATTGACTTCGCAATGCACCCCTTCACCGCCGAAGGCGCAATCATCGGCACAATCATTGCTGCAGCAGCACCCGTACAACCACTCTCCTCCAATGGCGACACACCTGTTCCACATCCACATCCATCATATTTTCTCTCTCGCTGCTGATGTCTTCTCCTCCAGACTTCTTTTCAGCCCTTTGTGAAGCCCTGTCAACGCCACAGGCACCCAACGTCCCCTGAAATGTGCTCAATCATTGCAAGACGCACTGGCAACACAGTGCGGCCTGCAACAAACGAAAATTGGAAAGACACATCGCCTTGCCGATTCTAGGTTCTTTGGATGCTTCTCACGTTCGACGGTGTCCTGACGCGCTCCGGGACCTAATCTGCAAGTCTCAGAGTTCAGGGCGAAAGCAAACTGTTTCCACTTGGGAATGTAATGAAGAACCAACACCGGGCCACCATGGGGTAAAACAAATGGGAGCAGGCTTGTTCTCAACGCGGCAAACGTGCTCCTCGTTCTTCTGTCCGAAATGCTCCGCACGATCAACAATCCAAGCAAATGACCTGGCGCCCTCGTATGCGTCATCAGCCTCTCCCTCCGAATCGCTCTCGTCAAGCCCGGTCTTCTTCAGCAACTTCTTCAGCATTTTTCCCGACTCATTCAATTCTTCCGCCTCTTCGTCTGAGTCGCTCCCCACGAATCGACGGTATTCCTGTTCAGCCTCGTCGTTGTCGGCATCCAGCTCGCCCATGGCGACGTCGTCATCATCATAATCTTCCTCGAACTCCCAGTCCTCCACCTGGAGTTGCATTGCAGCATGCCACGCACTGTCCAATGTGCACCCGGCAAATGGCAAGACATTCGATGAAGCTGACAGTCTGTGCACGTGCTCAATGTGGGGTGGGGCTGACTGCCATTGCCAAGCCAAGAGTAATTGGGCCCCACGACAGTGAAGATGTGAGCAAACACACATCACTGCAGCTGCAACGACTGGTTGTTTGCTGCATATGACCCACTGACAGCGGCCATTGAGGTCACCGCTGGACTGGCTGGATGCAGACCAATCGGGCGCCGATGGCCACAATGATGTGCTCGTACATATCACAGCACCTTGTGTACAGAGCTACTCTGCCTTTCCAGGCATGTCGCTAATCGCCAAGTTGTGAGTGTGCTGCAGCCAGACAGTCGACGTAAGGCAAGCTAGACAGCAACGTGTGTCAGCATTTGTGTCCATAATCCAGCCCAAGTTCTCTGTAAGTTATTATTGTGCCAATGAGGTGTTGAGCCAACAGGTGTAAACCCTTGTGGGCCGCACCATCCAACGCAGGGTTGCAGACTAAGGACAACAAAGACAACAACGCAATTCGGTACAAAAACATTAAGACATTGAGAAATGCTGTGTGTGCAGAAAGCCATGGGATGCTGTGCTCAAATGTCACTGCATTGCTTCTTCAATACCACTAACACCAGTGGAAATCGGCACAAAAGGCAGACAACAACACCAACCAAACGTACACCAAACGCTTGGAAAGAATGTGTTCAAAACAATCTTAACCCAGAATCGACTGCACTCATATGGTTGCAGCCAACACTGGGCAATATCTTTACCATAAAACAAGACAGGCAAAGTCCTCCCCACCAATGCTCTCTCAGTCATCATATACGGCCATACATAAGCATGGAACACCCAACACGTGACGTTGCAATCTGCTATGGACAACACACAAAACTGCCGTGGTCCAACCATTGACGGCTTACATTGGCTGGACGGAGTTTCTCGCCGTCCTTGTTGTCAGACAGGACCTCTGGCTCGCTGTCTGACAGCTGATGATCTCCCTGAGGCTCACTTGCATGGTGCGGCCTCTTTCTACTCTTTTCAGTCCCGTCAGACACAGAATCGTCACTGTCCAAGCCCAGGCGCTGTGTCCCGTCCTCCTGAGAATCAGTTGGCTCCTGCTTCTGTGCGATGTGTCGAAGCCTCTCAGACACAGCCCGGGAGATCCGCGGCTTCTGTTTTTTCTTCATGAGCTCCTCAGCTTCCTCAAGGGAGAGCACCTCATGCTGCACCACTGGCCTGATGAAGGCATAGCACCATGAGCTTGCCAGGGTTCAGTTACACTTCGGAATAGACCTTGAACTTTGCAGAATAGGGTTCGGTGAGCTGCCAGATACTCCAACAGTCTGCCAATCAGTTGGCTGCAGATGGGACTGAATGAAGGCTGTATTCGCAATAAGCACTGGTGCTGAGTGGCAATATTTCGCATCGCTGCTGCTAAGCTGATGTTGCACTGCACAAATCTTCCCGCTGGACACTTTGTCTCCAGAGGTGTGAATCAACACCTGCATTTGTGCTTGATCGAGCCATGTTCACAGCAATGTGTCTTCTGGGAACCACTTGTCCGTGAACTGCTGGTTTTGCACCCACCTAAAATTGTACCACTCAGAGATTGGGTGGGCAAGGAATTCGTTACCACTTCTGGTGAGAATGAAATAGCCAGACATGGTGGTAGGGTTAGCTTGCACTCCACGATGCGAGACATGCCCAGGCCTGTCTTCCAGGAGCCAAGCTGCTTCACCAGCATCCTTGGGCTTGCTGGACCACAGATGAACACAGACATTTTTGGTACGGGTGCCAGCTGGAGGTTCTGTATCAAAACCACCATTCCGTCCCAAGCAGCAGGGCTCTCACGACACTCAGGAACTACAGCCCTTTTCTCAATGTGTGGCTCCTTCAATTTAGTTGGTGCACAATGCAACAAAACTGGTGTTTCCAAGTGGAAAGCGATTCGGCTTTTAGTATGCAGATTGTGAGATTATGGAGATACAGTGAGAAATTCTGTGTCTCAAAATATACCCACAGCCACCTGAAAAGGTGCAAGAGCTCTGTAACACTTCAGCAAATCACAGCAGAAGGTTGATGCCATAACTATATCACAGCCAGAGACCCGTGCATTGATGTTGGACTGTGGCCATTATCCTCTTGTGGGGGCCTCCAGTCGCTCTAACAGATCGGTTGATTGTACTGAGAGGACCTTACAAATGCAAAGATAGCCAGCAAATACGCCCTTCCTCCACTTTGGGTCCATTCCGTGGTGACAAAGAGGCATTTTAGGTTCTAGCTGTTGCGTACTGTTACACCATACCACGAAGACTGTTTGTGGCACTGCGCAGGGGGCCATATTTCACAAGACGCCTAAGTGACTGATCTGTGGAACCGATGCCAGCCCTAATCTGGGAGATGGCACCCTGCCCACCTGGTGCTCTCAGCCTTTTCCTTGTACATGTTCCACTGCCGCTCACTCTTGTCACGAAAATTTGGAATACCCTGCGAGACATCGCAGTTCCACCCTTTTTCTGCACCATTATCGCCCCAAGGGACGCTGGCAAAACCAGGCTTTGGCAGCCTTTAGGCACAGGGAACGAAGTCATCGAGTGGCCTATCCCAGTGGCACTGCAAACTTCGACTCCCGCTTCGTGCCGCCCACCCAGCGATGGGCCCGCCGAGGCGTTCTAGAAGACCCTTACCAGCGGGAAATTCCCAATGAACATTTTCTCTCTCTGCAGATCGAAACTTGACGCCATGCGGATGGTGTACTCCTGCTAAGGCGAGAGAGTCGGACCGATCGTCAGGGGACACAACGTCTGGAAGTGATTCAGATGGCCGCCCAAGGGGACTGAGACGCAGCCGCATCTGTACCTGGCGACTGGTGCCCGCGTTGCCCGGGTGCGCCATAGTCCTGGTCGTCCAAGGGCAGACGTTCAAGTGCTGTTGCCCTTCTTCCGGACGTTCCACAGTCCACAATTGAGCTCTTCCGCCTATCAATCCATCATTGCCACAAGCCGCACTGCGGATTTATTTCGTGCGCCGCGGATTTTGTTTGACAAAAAATGCCAAACAGAGTAAGGCCTTGTACCCTGCAGGCGACGACGGAAGCAGACAGGTGCAATCGGTGCTTGTTCAATGTCTACACACCACCCGGTGCCCAACATCACAAGGGCAGCGCGCCAAGTTGGCGACATGGGCCCCAAACACTGACTTTGTGCGACAACGGGGGGGCAACATTACTGTATTCGGTGACAGTAAAAGCGCTGCTGCACTTCAGCAAGTCCCGGGCTCCAGACTTGCCTGGTGACAACACGAGTTGCCCGCAATTGTATCCTCAGCACTGACGCTAAAAGCAATGCGAAGTAAGCCTTGACATTTTCGGGCCCGTGTTTTGCCTTTTTCTTTGGATGATTTTGCTGCCAGTTTTGGAGACCGTTTGGTGACAGTCGAACATAAATGCGGACTGGATTGCATGTTGTTTCCTGGGAACACTGCCCGACATCGCCAGCTTGGTGACAGGACTTGCTTTGCCATGAATTTGGCAAATGTAATTGCAACTTATTTCAAAAAAAATGCGAAGTAAGAACAGGCCAAACCAGGGAGCTGAAGGGAGTGGAAGAATCTACTTCTAGTGGTCACTCTGTCTCGCCTAGCTCGTCATCTCTCCAGGGTGATCAAACTCAAGGAACTTACTGGCTGGGAGTGCAATTCGACTTGAGGAATGTCATCGGGATTCGTGCGACATGCGTCCACACACGTCCAGAATATTTGCTGAAGCGCGCGTACATGCCCTCGAGCTCACGTGACAGTCGTGGCTGCGTCAAATCCTCTATCGACATGAGCAGGTAGGCAGTCAGGCAAGCAGCCATGTGTCGTACCAATCTGAATGCACCATTGGGCAGGATTGTCATCCATTGTCGGTGATTCTCCCAGCCTCGTCACCCTTCGCCTATGCACTGCAGTTTTTTTCTCAAAAAAATATACATCTGCGCGTGCTGTGTGGGAGTGGCTGTTGTTGCTCATGTGTCTGCTGAGGGACGTAGGTTACATCATGTAGCTGCTGGGCAATACTATGAGAAGCAACGTGAAATAGAAATCGGCACTCTCTTAAATGGCGGTTGTTGACCCAGGGTTCGTCCCAATTGGATGCATGGGGAAACGGACTCTGCGACGTCAATGTGCAGCAGACGCCCACGACATACCCTGACCTGCTACCTCCTCACTCAAGGAATGCGCAGCCACCTATCTTGTTTGGCACGCGCCCCGTTTCCTCGTAGATTGAGTTCAAGTATCCTTTGAACGATCTCGGGGTGTAAGATTCTGGATTGAGCTGCGCAGCGTTGAGCAAATTGAGGTGAGGATCACGGTTTTGATTTTGAGCGGATGGTGATGGGAACCAAGGAAGGTAACGTATACCCCCGACTACCCTCCTGCCCTCCGTGCACAACTCTCCCCTTTTGATGGTCCTGTTCAGCGCAGTCGACTGCGCAATGCTGCTTCGTGCAACAAGCGGATCACAGAGGCAGAGATTGAGCGCAATTCCGTTTGGTTACATGTGCATGAATTACAAGATGGTTTGCATTCCAACAGTCCTAACTACGTAGAAGAGCTGCATTCTGGTAGCCGGAATTCGCCACCTCCTCAAACCCGAGACTTCAGTTCAAGAAAAGCTTCCATGCCGGTTATCAAATCGGGAGGCCACCGCCTGCTTTCTTTGAGCCAGGCGACATCACGATACCTGAAAGAATTAAAACAAGGGAGTCCACATTTCAGAAATGAAGTCGAGGCAGTGTGCGACACAGCAGGCGCGGCAAACAGTCTTCTCGATGGAGAAAGCGGAGAATTGTTCACAGTATCTTTGATGCAATTTCAAACCGCACAATGTGTCCAACATCAGCTGTGCTCAGCGAAGCGCAAAATCAGCCCCACAGCCCCAATGGTTGTGGGATAATGGCCGTACAGGGCCTCCCACAATCAAAATCGCGTGGTGGCGTGTGACATGCACGGAAATGGCAATTCCATTATTCACCAACAACACAACAAAAGCACAGGTGCCGTGCAGCATATTCAGCATAGTCAGCAAAGTACTACGATGTGGAATTACCTTCTATGTGCTCCAGTACATCGCCGTTTATGTCTTCATCACAAATGCTCATGTCGCCACACGCACAAAACAAGGACATGCCACAAGATTGCAGTGGAGGTGACTGGCAGATGATCACATGCTGGCCTCCACAAATGGCCAGACAGCCGTTGCGCTGGGCACACACTGTGGCATGATGGTGCCTCTGTTTTGTTTCGTTGTCAGCGTGCCCAGATATGGACTCCAAAGGGGCATTCACATATTTCACATTCAGGTAGCACTGGAAACGCCTGTGTGGATTCACATGGCCGTCTAGCACTCGTTGAGATATGGCAGTACCCTCGAAACGCTGCAAACTCTACCAGGGGCAGACAATCCCTTTGTCTTTGGCAGTACTCATCACCTGGGGTCATCCACCCGCAGCCACTCCTCCTCTGCCTCGCCCTCCTCGCCATTTCTCCACAGAGCTACAGTCAGGGCTGCCCGCATGTCAGGGAATGTGGGGTAACGTCGCAGCAGGTTCCTCATCAGACGCAGGGAGTCGTCAACTCGCCCCAGCTGGTACAGCGCACATGCTCTGTTTGCAGCAGCAAAGGCAAACTCCGGGGCCAGCGCCACAGCACGGCCATAGTACCTTTGAATCAACAGCAGCGTTGCTTTATCATTCTTGCCTCTTGCTGCCAATTCCATTGCTCACAAAGCAATGCAATGATGCTGAGGCAGCCCAGTTCCAGTTGGCAAATGGGTTCCAAATTGAGCATTGTCAAAGGAACAAAACTAATTCCTGTGATGCTTGTCTCGCATAGGTAGGCACTGACAGCGGCACCACTCGCAGAATAGAGCATTGCACACAGCAGACACAAGGCCATGTCCATCCCCATAATGGTTTATGGTGTTGGGCTTTACCTCTCAGCCTCGTCCCACTGGCCCTTCCCTGCGTAAGCATTGCCAAGGTTGTTCAGAGCACTGGGGTCGAATGGGGCGACCTTTAGCACGGATCTGTAGTCCCTGATAGCCTCATCCCACCTGCCCAGCGCCTCCAGGGCAACGCCCCGGTTCAGCACAGGGTCCACAGACCATGGGCATGCCTGAGGGGCAGTTTAAGCACCAGAGACATCGATCAACAAACTGAAGCCATTGGGTAGATCGTGCTCTCAAGTGCGCATGTCAATTTAATTACGCAATGAGTGTGATGGATTTTTGCTCATCTGTGGTTTGAACACTCCTATGTTATGGACACTCCTGGACAAACAACGACTAGCCTGTAGCCTTGGTACAATGCATTGCGACATTTAGGGAAAAATCTGGGTTGGCCTCAACCAAAATAAGGACACCTTGCTTGCCCGTCATCCACTGTGAAAAGTAATTGAGAAACCAGGTGGCTGCTTGTCAAAATGCTCCCCCCTTGTTGATGCAGACACCCCCTTCATGCCAAGTTCAGTGACAGTAGATATTGCCAAACACACTCGCTGGCCATTACGGTCAACCGTCGTGGTAATGATCATTGACAATATGTATTCTGGAAATGGAGAATGGATGCAATGTCTCTTGCACACACCCGTGCCATCACGCTTCCCGATGCGCTTTGAGTTATCCAAACATACATCAGCTCCCCGTCACACGCTCCCAGGAGCCGGATCCCACCACGAACAACCAATTGTAAGGGCAACCTCTGGCACGTGTGGCCCTGAAATCATTCGCCTCGGCCGCACAATTGCTCCTCCCCTTCCCCCAGTTTCGAAGAGGGAACGAGTAAGCGCTGCCCACACGCTGCTCCCCCGGCCAATGCCTGCCGTTCGCAGAGACCCCGCTTCGTCGCACGCAGTCGACGAGACGCTCAATCGCTCATCAGACCGTTCGGCACCCCACCTCGATCGCCGCGTTATAATCCGCAACGGCGCCCGCCAAGTCGCCCCTCCGGCTCCTCGCGTTCCCGCGGTTCCCCAGCGCCCTTCCCACCACGTCGGGCGCCCATTCCGCGTCCCGCCCTCCGTAGCCGTCGATTATCCTCGTCCACAGCTCCTCCTCCTCCTCCAGGCTCCCGGCCTCAAGGGCCTCCCGCACCAGGCCCGCCGCGGCCCGCAGTTCGGGATCCGCCGCGTCGTACCTCGACTGGTCGGGCGCCAGCCCGGGAACAATGACCGCCGCCGGCGCCTCGACCGCCGCCGAGCCGATCGGCGCCCGCAGGACGATGGCGATCAGCGGCAGCGATGCGACGGCCGCTCGCCTGGAGAGATGGGAATGGCGGGTGATGGATTGTGTGAACCGGGGCGCAGGGGTCTCGGAGTCGGCCAGGCAGCGCGGGAGCTGGTTTCGGGCGCGTTGGGAGGGGGGCCGGGAGAGGGGCAAGGAGGGCGCCCCCATGGCCAGGCGCGACGCTGGCCGTCTCGGCACCGCCACAGACTTGGGCTCCAAAGTGATCTGCAGAGTTAGAACGTACACTGCAAAGTACACTGCATAAGTGCACTGCCAAGTACACTGCATATGTACACTGCAAAGTATACTGCCGTATCACCAAGGGGGGTAGTCACATTTTGGTGGTTTCCCTGTGCTGGGGGGGAGATGAGGCACACAAGGGGAAGGGGACGAGGGAAGACAACAGCATGGGCCGGCAGGTCAGGCCGGAAACATGTGCGCACTTTGGGACTCTGTCGCGGCGATCGTGCGGGTGGCTGGGGAATGGCGTTCCAAAGCCGTTATGCCGTCTGGCGACGGCGCGAGCGGGAGTCCGCTCCAATGGGATTAAGCCCGGCGAGTTGGCAGCTGGTGGAGGGGGCGACGCTGCGGCAGTCGGGTCCTGCGGCCGAAGGCGCGCGGTGAAGCCACCGTTGGAGCGGAGGGCTGTGCGCATGGCAGTGGGTGGGGACCGGCGCTTGCAAGCCCGCGCAGGCGGCCTCGGGAATCTGTGTTGCTGACGAGCAGTATTCATTGTTTCTTGCTTCTTCCTTCTTCCTTTCTTGTTTCTTGTTTCTTGCTGCGTTTTGGGAGCGCTGCGTCCTCTGCTTGTGGGGGGGAAGGATCTCGAACGCGGTTTTCAATGAATGGAGACGCACTGCATCGCCGTCTTCTTTCATCCTTTGGGACAATTGAAACGGAGCTGGGATTGGATTGTGGAGTGCGCACTGCGGGCTAGCATAGAGCTCAGGGCAGGGGCAACAGTGTAACCCCGGCTGATGCACGCATGATTCCACCTCCTGCTCAGCTAGGGCTTCCGCCAGTTTGCAATTCAAGAAGTCCTGAACTCTGTGTAGTCAACCTGGAACTCCATGCAGTTATGCGAAATTGGCTGCAGTTTGTCTTGACTGTTTCGAGATCGCATCAAAATCAGCATGGCAATGTCTGTATTTGCCAGGGACTCAATTGGCAGGGCAGAAGGACATGCCACTGCAGCAAAAGGCACTGTCAGGCCTGCTTGGACTGTCCTCATTACCATACAGGTACCCCTTTATTGCGAGTGACTGCGATGGGGCCCATTTCAAAGGAATTTTTCCTGAGCAGGCGACTGTGCATCCTGCAATGACTCCAGATTTGGGCGGGAATTAACTGCATTGACATTGTAGTGACGTGATGTGTTGCTTGTTCAACACTCATTTGGACAAAATGGCTACGATTGCACGGCTGTGGAAGGATGCGGCTAGGAGCTGCACTTGGATGTTTCAGACATTCAGGTATTATTGTTTCCATGCCTTGCAGTTCCTATCTCCGATCACCGCAAACATTCCTTCACAGAGTAGATGCACGCATAAAACAGGTGCGAACTTGTTTCTGTTTGCCTTCCATGCCCCTTTTGATCCTCGATCTCGACGGCCTTCCCGCTCCAAACATCCTCTGGCTGTGGACTTTCACATTTCTGGTCTCCCACAGCTGTTTCATGTTTTTGAAAACAACTATTGTCCAACGCCCAACCAGCTGCAACATGATTTTATGTCCTTGTGGCTTTGGTTACTCCAACGCAGCTTCATTTTTGACAGACTGGTCATGATCAGGGGGACTGATCGACGTTTTTTTAGATAGAATTTGTACTGTCATTGAATGAAAGAGGTTTTGGACAACCTTGCTGATCGGACACAAGCAACAGCGGTATAGAATTGGGGGTACTCATGTCTTGTTTGTCTCTGAGCCCCAGTGCTCAACACCTGTCCCCACCTGCTCTCAGGACAACGATCCTTGTGCGCATGTCAACCTGTATTCTTGGCAATCCACATATACCCATTGAATGCAACTATGAATGTGCCTGTGCTCAGTTTGCATGACTATCCTGCCCGCAGGCCGGTGTCGTCCTTATCATATGGTCCCTGGTGGGCGGGTCGCAAGTTCGGCAAGCCACGATCGCACTGTCCCTCCTCACCCTGACAATGGCGACCCTGCCGCGACGAACATGGTCCCAACAATTGAGACCTGTGGCCATCATGGGCATCTTCTATTTCATCATCACATCACTCTTTGCCGATGGCGCCCCGCCTGTCACCCAGACACGCAGCCTGCCCACCTCCATGGATGCCACCCTGCTCCCCATTGCTGCTGACTCCAGATACTCGTATGTCATCTTCCGGTTCCTTTTCCTGACTGTCACTCAGAAGTCCGTGAAGCTGGCAGTGTCCACCGTGTGCCTCATCTTCGTGGCCCTACAGAGCGCAAGCCTCTGCCTCACGACCACGCCGCCAGAGGAGCTGGCCTTCTCCCTGAGGTGGTTCCTCAGGCCCTGGGAAGCGATCGGCATGCCTGTGAAAGAGATCACCCTCACCCTGCTGCTGTCCCTCAGGTTCCTGACTGTTGCATTCGATGAAGTTAGGAACCTTGCTTTGGGGGTGGCTGTCAGGGGTTTGAACTGGCGTGCCTTGGGCCTCGGGGGCAGCCTGCGGGTACTGGGAGGGGCGATTGTGCAGCTTTTTAGGAAGCTGTTCAGCACCTGCGAGAACGTGGCGCAGGCAATGCAGGCACGGGGGTTTACTGGGCCCCAGACGCACCGGCTGTACCTGATGGAGAGTCAGCAAGTCGATGTTGTCGCGAATGTGCTGGCTATTGTTGGGTTGGGGGCGCTGTTGGGATTGACACGACTGATTTAAGTGGTCCGTATTCAGAAGAACGCAGCAGCAAAAAGCATGGTTGTCAAGCTTGAAGAGACTTCCCTGTTCTCCCAATTTGGAGACTTGCTCAAACGGCTGGAATGGATGGAAGGCAGAGTGTCTACAGGCTCCCGGCCACGATCGATCCTGTTGAATCCATTCATTGACAGCCTGTGCGGAAAACATATTTCGATGCAGTTTGTCACGCGTGTGCTATGTCCAACAAACATCTTTCAGCTTGGACAACAATCTGGGTCCACAATGTAATACTGATGTACGTCCAAAATGTCCACTCGTGCTTCAGTTCTCTGTTGTGCCTGGTAGGTGCAAGCTTATGCCTGGATTCTGAATGCACGCCAGACAAGGCGAAGTGGCGTGCAACTGGTCAGGAGGAAAAGCTGATTAACAAGGCAAGCAGAATCTTGTAAGACAGCTACTACTGGATATGAATGGAAACTTGCTGCTTTGGCTGCCTAAACGTTATGTGATTCCAGTTGTTGTTATTGTCTATCATCCTGACTCGCTACAGGCTGTGCAGGCGCCACATTGGAGTGAATTACCTTCTATTACATAAAAGAATCCAATAAGGGCTTCGAAGAGCAAAAGCGCACAAAAGTCCAATTAATGTCTTCAATTTGTATCATTCACTTGCGCTGAGATAGCCCCTTATCGGTGGTGAAGTACAGCACATGCCCCTGCGAATGATGGGGAGTATGAATGTACGGTACAAGATACGATACACTCTACGGGTATTTTTGTTTGCACGTGCGCATTCCAATTTTGCGAAAGCTGCCGCACACCTCGGCACCAGGGAACAACGCCAGTGGGGTCGCCTCGTGCACACACGCGCGCCCGTGGCGTCGCTTGTGCGGACGGCAGGCACCAAGGCGTCCGCGTGGCGGCAGGGGTACGTGCAGGCGAAGCGCATGTCACTCCACGCCTACAATGGGTTTTTTGGCCAACATTTCAATGTGGGAAGGGCTCACCGCGATGTCGACTGCTGCTGCTGCTGCTGCCAACGGCTGTTACGCACGTCCAACTTGGCGGGGATTGTTACCGGCATCTTTGATCGTGTCCGTGGCGAAGGCGGATGCACGTTTTCCGGGTCATTCGCTTGTTAGCGAGCGCTTCTGTGGCGCACGATGGCCCCTGTGCTGATGCCCTGGGTGCTGTTTGGCGCTGGTACGCGCTGTGTTTGAAGGTGATCAAGCAATTGTTGTTCGGTCCGGGGACCTCTTTGTGTACTCTGATCTGCTTCTAACGACTTGGCGTGCTCAGATTTCTAAAGAGCCGGTCGCGACGTGTTGATGGTGTTGTTGGCCTCCTGCAACCAAGGGTGCTGACTGGCCGAGATGCAGTGTGCGGGGAAGATCGTTGGAGCGATGAATCCCCACAACGCCCAGATCCACTCAGTGGGTCAAAGGCGATGTATAAGTTATCGACCAACAACCGTTGTCCCAACTGTCAGCCCACCGGGGACGTTGCACACAGGTGAAGCCCGGTAAACTTTTTGGGAGTTAAACTTTTTGCAGATGTTGTCTTACTGGGCAATTGTTGGTGGCGATTTCGGCGTACATGTTAAATGATTGTGCCAGATGGCGATATGGCGCACTCCAGGTCAATCCACATATGCCAGCGATAACCAAGAACAACAACATGTAGCAGATACAACGCCAGTTAATGGTGCTTCTGAAATGGGGAATGCTGTTCTGGAAAAACGGACTCTAATGTACAGATCTGCGCCTGGTCAATCCAGACATCAACATTGAGCATTGAATCCAGAAATCTCTGGATTTGTGAAATGTGCTTGTTTCGTATATTCGCTTGCACCGCAGCAGACTGCAGCATGCATCACATCGCACTTGTGTGGAACCGCTGTTACTTTGCACAGCCAAATCAGCTACAGGGACTTTGATTGCAGGCAGTTGTTGCTGTGCGGCAAGTTGTCATTTGGTTCTTACAGCAGGTTCCTGCACACTTTGATATTTGCCCATGGATCCGGAACCCCTTGAATTGTTGCAAGATTACTCAAATGCGATAGACATGCACCACCTGTAGTGATTTCAGGCTCCAGGGGAAAATCTGATAGTTGGCATCTCTGCTTCCTCTTTCATGTTTGCAGGGGCCTTGCCTGCACATGCTCTTGGGCATGGCCAACCTACTGTGCAGCAGACCCATCGCAGTTGCATCCCATTTGCAGCCAAGGGAACTGAGGCAATAGGGGAAAGTGAGCCCTTGAACCTGAGTGAAGTTGGGGTAAGAATACTGTAACTGTGGCCCAACATATACAGCTGATTTTGCTGATATTGACAACAACTTTTGTTTTCGATATGAAAGTGAACTTTCAACCGCTGGTGGCCAGCAGGGACACTGGACTCATCTGCAAGGACTTGTGTCAGGAAACCTGCAGGCAACAAATGTAGACAGTGTCTTTGGCTAGATATTGAAAAGAAGTCAGCCTGCTGGATTGATGCGATGGTCGTGGCTAGTGCAAGTCGCATTGTCACACATGAAATTGTTGCACTGCTGTACAGGAGGAAGAAGAGGTGAGCATCCGCCGTCGACCTCCCTTTGGAAGTGACAGCCAAGCGTAAGTTCAGCAGAAATGTGCACAAAGATACCATACAATGTTTGGACTTTTTGCTGCGATGCTGTTGGCGTATTTTCGTCCAGATGGCAGGACAGGCATAGAAGGGCAGCCACATTTCGCAGTTTGGTTGCTTAAAGGGACAGTTGTAGGCCAGAGCCAGCATAGATATTTGTCTGGTGGCCTTATTACTCTGGTGATCTGAAGCTCGATTGGCTGAGAGCTGGCTCTGTCTATTGTTACTCAGTTTGGCTTGATGCTTCATTGTGTTTGTGTTTCTAGGTGTGGACCTTTGGGCTTCAAGGTGCCCCTGCCTGATGCCAATGAGCCCAGGAACATTCTGGAAGAGATCGTTTGGTGGGAACACCAATCACAGCGCTCAGTCTGCACCCCATCGGTGTTTACCCTGACTGTCACAATGGTCACTTCATCTTGTCTGTCCCAAACATGCAACATTGCATGACAAGTTCGCATGTGTGCTCTTAGCTCATGGGGCAACTTCACGTCCATGAAATGCCATGCGTCATACACAGCAAGAGATGATATTCATGATCTTGTCGAATGCATCTGCCACTGCCCTGCCAGCATCGCGCATGCAACCCTCTAAAGGTGGAAAACAGACCTTGTGCACCTCCCTGTGATTCACAGTCCCCTCCATGAACTTATCAGATTGGGAAACCTGACCTCGAAGTCAACACACCAATTAGCATTCGCTGTCTGTTCGCAGGCCTGTGTGCTTGTGTTCAAGATCTGTGTGCTTAAACTATTGAGGCCTGCCCTTTGGGTGGGTCAAAGGCAACTTCGTCTAGGGTCACTGGTACGTTTTGGACTGGATCTATGACTTGTAGTGCACTGCTGGTCTTTGCTGTGGCTCAGCACCACACAACATTCAGCCCTTGTTGCCCATATGTCGAGTGATGCAGGTGCATATCTGGAGTGCTGTTGGTTGGAACACCTTCAGCTTGTGGTGTTACTGACTTCTGCATAGGCTGCATATGCAAAAACACAGTCTCTCATTGCAGTGGTCCAGCCAGCATGATGCCAACAGTGTTCCTGTAGGTGGAAGGCCAAGGAAATTGAGAGCATGAGGGAGGCCATGCCACTGGCAGCGTTGCAGAGCAAATTGAGGCTCTGCAAACCAACAAGAGACTTCAAAGGAGCCCTATCTGAGCGCTTCAAGGCTACAGGCATGTGAAGACAAAACGTTTGCTGCTGAAACGCACGCTGTAGTGAACCCAAGCAAGTGGTGGGTGTGTGGACAGGGTAGAACTTAGTTCGCGATGGTTTCCATCCACAGTTGTGCAAGCAATCTGCTTGGGTAACAAATTGTCACCACACGCTCTTCATATTTTGAAACATTGCACACTCTGGTGCTGTGGGTGTGCTGTAGAGACCTCATGTGGAACGTCTCTATATTCCTAATGCCATGGATTTGCCTCACTATGCCCATGGCGTTCCTAATGCTCCATAAAGGGTGCATTGCACACCCAAAAGGAGCAAGTTCATAGTCACAGTGTGCAACCCTTTGCATGCCGGTCAGAACAGAACCCCCCTCATATCTTGCTGGGAACATTGGCAGCAATTATCAGCTTGTGTCCGGACACACAGTGACACACAGATATCCATCAATTGAGGATGCCCAATTATCATGTCAAAGATGTTCGTTGCTGGCAGGCCGACCCGCACTCATCGCAGAAGTGAAGAAGGCATCCCCAAGTAAAGGTGTCATACAACCGGATTTTGACCCTGTCAGGATAGCTAAAGGCTACGAGGGAGGTGGTGCCACTTGCCTCAGCGTTCTGACTGATTCCAAATACTTTCAGGTGTGTTGTAAATGGACACCAACCAATTGTGGCCGGCAGCATGGGCCTGTTGGCTGTGATTGCGTGTTGGGAACCTCCTACCCTTGTTGTGCAGGCCCTGAAGTGCTTAATCCCTATGCAACTGATATATTGCATGTTTGCCAGAGCATCTCAAATGACTTCTACCTTGTTTGCCCTTATGCGCAATGATGCATGAACAGAAATTCTCTTGCAAATGGTTTGTGGCGTTGTGTACCTGCTGTTTTCGGCTCATTGTTAGACTGACTTGCGTGTAAGACGTGTGAGACTCGCGTGCATTGAGCTGACTGTACGACTGTGTCCTTGCCGGAGCAGGGGAGCTTTGAGAACTTGCAATCAATTCGCAGAGCTGGCGTTGCATGTCCCCTGCTTTGCAAGGAGTTCATAGTGGAAGCATACCAATTGTTCAAGGCCAGAGTCAGGTGAAACATAAAATAGTGAGTACACATCATATGGATCATGGGTCGGGTGCCAATCCGTTCAGGTTCCTATGTTTTTGCGATACTTTGTGCAGGAATCGCAACACATAGGTTGCATGCTTTTGCCGCTTAACAAGCATTGCATTTGTGGGCTCTTGACCCAGGACTCAGTACGTTTATGTACGATGTTTTGTGTTTATGTTTGTTCTGTGCATGTGGATGCAGCGGAGCAGATGCAGTGCTGTTGATTGCTGCTGTTCTTCCAAACAAGGATCTCACGTACCTCATGAAGTCAGCAAATGCCCTGGGACTGCAGTGCCTTGTCGAGGTGATCATAGTGCAAATGCGGAGCATTTTAGGGCACCGTTTTCAGACGGCACCCTTGTTTTCGATTGCCATGCATCTTCTACTATTCAATTGTGTTGAGAGAGGCGAAACGTGACATTGCACCAACCATGCGACCTTACACGCATTCGCGCCAATCCACAGGCAGCCACAGAACCAATGGTGTTTTTGCCACTGTGATGCTGGCCATGTGTACTCAATTGGAGATTGTACAACTGATCAGACGCGTCCTGTTTCCGTGTTGCAGGTGCACAATGCAGCAGAACTGTCGCGCGTTCTGAGGGTCGACGGAATTGACAAGCAAATCATTGGCATAAACAACAGGGACCTGACAACTTTCAAGGTCGACCTTGACAACACCAGGCAGATCCTGGAGAGCGAAGCAGGGCAGCAGGTGAGCACAAACCATTCTTTTTACGTTTCATCCGCTTCCGATTTCATACGGTATTCCTAGGATTACTTTTCGTCCTGCATCGTACCGTGTACTCGTCTGAATTGCTTATGGAAGGATCTGTGGACAGGCAGAGCCATGCAACTTGGAATTGCTCAACCTGGTTCTGTTGTTTGATGAGGACCATGGCGCCTGCTCGCTGGCCCATGAGTGCAAAAACGCCTGGAACGCCAAACATCTTGAAGAATTTGACTCTGCAATGCGGCTGAGAATGGCGACTTTCTTCCAGCACCGAAATTGTGCGTTCACGCCTCGAATGCCCCTCGGGTAGGGGTTCTGAATGCTCATCCCTGCGATATTCCCCAGGCCAAGGAGAGAGGAATAATGGTTGTGGGCGAGTCTGGAATCTTCACACCGGAAGATGTGCAGTTCCTACTGGAGGTGAGGTCGCCATGCCATGCGAATGAGAGATGTTAGAGCATCTTTAT